ATATATATATATATATATATATATATATATATATATATATACTAGGGCTTTAACAGACTACTCAAGTATTCTACACATCTATTCCTAGGACATCTATCGAGTTTTTAAATTTCACATTGAGCATTTGTGGTGACATCATTACCAGGGAGGCTTAAAAGCGTGATCCCCCTGTAGTTGGAACACACTCAACGGTCCCCCTTTTTAAATAGGGGGACCACCACCCCGGTCTGCCAATCCAGGGGAACTTCCCCCGATGTCCCTGCAATATTTCAGAGTCTTGTAAGCCAACACAACCCTACAACATCCAGAGCCTTAAGGAACTCCAGGCGAATCTCATCCACCCCTGGGGCCTTGCCACCGAGGAGCTTTTTAACCACCTCGTTGACCTCAGCACCAGAGATTAGAGAGCCCAACCCAAAGTCCCCAGGCTCCGCTTCCTCAGTGGAAGACGTGCCAGTGGGATTGAGGAGGTCTTCAAAGTATTCTCCCCACCGACCCACAACATCCCGAGTTGAGGTCAGCAGCACACCACCCCTACTATAAACAGTGTTGGTGGTGTACCGCTTTCCCCCCCCCGAGACACCAGATGGTAGACCATCCCGAGTTGAGGTCAGCAGCACACACAGTGTTGGTGGTGTACCGCCTCACCCCCCACACCCCCACCCCCGAGATGCCAGATGGTGGACCAGAATTGCCTCTAAGCCGTGCGGAAGTCATTCTCCGTGGCCGCTCCGAACTTCACCCAGGCACGAGTTTTTGCTTCATCGACCACCCGAGCCACATGTTGCTTAGACTTCCGGTACCCATCAACTGCTTCCGGGGTCCCACAGGCCAAAAAGGCCCGATAGGACTCCTTCTTTTGCCTGACAGCATCCCTCACCGCTGGTGTCCACCACTGGGTTTGAGGGTTGCCGCCACAACAGGCACGACAACCTTGCGGCCACAGCTCAGTTAAGCTGCCTTGACAATAGAGGCACGGACAATGGCCCACTCGGACTCAATGTCCCCTACCTCCCTCGGAACATGTTCAAAGTTTTCCCAGAGGTGGGAGTTAAAGCTCCGTCTCACAG